ATAAAATCACAAATGAATAAATAAATCCTTAAATGCTTAAACGCACGCATAAATAAACGTTTAAACACATAAATAAATGCATAAATCTTTAAATGCATAAATAAATGCTTAATGCATAAATAAATGCTTTAAAAAAATGAATGCATAAATCTAACTCAGAACGGGATGTAGGTCTACAAACTAACTTTTTTGATGGTGATGTATAAAACACATTTATTTTATATTTTTATATAATTCATTCATTTTAAACATGCATTTCAAACACTGACATCAATATAATATAATTTAATAAGCCTGTGTAATTCATACTGAATTTTTTTTTTTTATTCTCGCTAGAAGCGATCGTAAACCTGACTGCTTTTATGGCATTTTTGTTGTCTATTTTGCAGCTTTTGGAGTTTGACACACACGGTCACCGGCATTTGTATGGAAAAGAGAAATAGTTTGGGTGAACTATTGCTTTAATAAAAAATTCTTTGCTTATGACACCATTAAAAAACAGGTTCCTAAAAAAAGCAAAAATAAAATCTTGCTTTAGCCTCAGGGCCTGAGAAAATGTCACCAGTGTGAGTAATAATCTGAACTACCGCCCAGACCAAAAAAATAAATTAAAAAACTCATTGTCAAGCCTGGGATGCACAAAAAGACAGAAAGAGCTAGCAGAGCGAACAGCTCTATATGACACATCACAAGGGAGTTCGAGACTCATCTGTATTACAAAAGACTCTGAGGAGACTTGATAACTCAATCAGAGGCATGATGGGAGAAAAATCTCACAGCGATGAGTGGGAGGAAGAGAGAGAGGGTGCGAAATCTCATGAGGAAGGGAAAGAGATTACACAAGAACTGGAACAGCAGAGGAAGACATGGAGGAAATGTGCCGTTTAAATCCGTTCAGTCAGACCATTTATCTCTCTCTGCAGCTGAGCAGCATCTTTCCAGAAGCAAACCTGCCAACGCAAGCCAGACGCAGTGTTTCCAACAGCAAAACAGCTTTAAAGGAGCATTCAGGCATATCCTCCTTCTTAAAAAGACATTTGCTTTATTGTATATATTTTTATACATATACTACCAAACTTTTGGAACAATTAAGATTTTAATGTTTTTGAAAAAAGTCTCTTAGGCTTTCTAAGGCTGTGTTTATTTGATCAAAAACACAGTAATATTGTGAAATATTATTACAATTTCAAATAACGGTTTTCTATGTGAATACATATTAAACTGTAATTTATTCATGTGATGCGCAGCTGGATTTTCAGCATCATTACTCCAGTCTTCAGTGTCACATGATCTTCAGAAATCATTGTAATATGCTGAGTTGCTGCTCAAGAAACATTTCTGATTATCATATATATATATTTTTTTTTTGAAAAAACAAAAAAAACCCGCAATCTCAAAGGCAAACTTGGCAATCCAGCGTTTAGTTGTAGTTTGGAAACTTCTAAACATGACTTGTTTTCCCAGTGAACTGATAAAATTCAGACTGAAGCCTGCTCCTCAGACTAGCGCATGTGTGTTGTTAGTTGGTTGGTGTGTGACTTACCTAAAGTGTTGTAAACGCCATCAGCTTCCTCCTTCACCGTCTCATCCAAACGCTCCATATTCTGCACCATGAGAGCTACGACCTGACCCTCCAACTACACAAAAAAATAAAAACCATTCAACAAGCATAGAAACATGGAGACATTTATTTAGGCTAATGCTAGAAAATAGTCACACAAATCAGGTTTTGAAACTAAATTTAGACACATGCCAAGACTATATACAAACAAAATAAATGTAAAATAAAACAATTTATTTAGAGATCCTTAGGTTGATGCTCAACTAGGCTGCACTTATTTGATCGAAAATACAGTAAAAATTGTGAAATAATTTTATAATTTAAAATAACTTATTTCTACGTCACAGTAATATTGTGAAATATTATTACAATTTCAAATAACGGTTTTCTATGTGAATACATATTAAACTGTAATTTATTCATGTGATGCGCAGCTGGATTTTCAGCATCATTACTCCAGTCTTCAGTGTCACATGATCTTCAGAAATCATTGTAATATGCTGAGTTGCTGCTCAAGAAACATTTCTGATTATCAAATAATTTTTTTTTCATTTAGAGGAAATTTTCATTCTCTGAAAACAAACATACAGATGTGCTCAAATATCTGGTTTACTTGCTACAAAGTGCCTCAAAAAAAAAAAAACTGATTTTTTGGAAAAATCCATGCTTGTAGCCTATATAAATAAATATATACTGTTATTATATTACTAATAATAATAAAAAATAAGTTAATAAATTATTTATAATTAAAGAAATGTATTATATGTTATACAGTATGTCACTGCATTTATATTTATGCATTTGGCAGACACTTATCCAAAATGCATTCAAGGTATTTATTTTATAT